AACTATGTATAATATATAAATAAAATATTAATAAGATCAAATAATTACATTATCTTTTTTAGATAGAAGAAGCTTATCATAATTTTGATAATAAAATTTAATGATAATATTTGTTTAATATATGAATTATTTGTTGAATATACGAATTAAATATTACTTAGATCAAATAATTACATTATTTTTTTTTAAGATAGAAGAAGCTAATCATATATTTTGCGAGATGCTCATTTTATTGAAGAAAATTTATTTGATATTTATGACAGCTTTTAAATCAGTGATACACCAGAAAGACCCTTACAGTGAATTGCTCAAATTCTGTAGCTATGGTCATATAGTATCTTTAATTTTATCTTTTCTTTAATTTAATTTAATTATATTTTAATCTTTAATCGATTATTTATTTTTTAGATTGTCTTTATGGACCACTCTTCCTTTAATTAGAACAGTTGTTCCTAAATCCTTTTCTACGGTTTGTTCTGAATATAAAGGGGTTAGCTTATTACCTAATCTTCTATTCGTTCTTACCAGTACTATGTCACCTGTGTTGTATGACTTTGGAACTCTTTCTTTATTATGATACTGCAGCATGTTTCGCTGAACTTCTCTAAGTTGGCCTGTTACTTCATTATCGAGACCCGTAGGTGCAGAATGAAAAATACTAACTGGGGTTTTATTAGTAGAAGTATGGATAGTTCTATTATATTGAACTGTAGCTAAAAGAATTAGTTCCGTTGTATCATCTATTTCTTTATCGATTTTTAAACATCGAGCTATCTCACCTAAAGTGCTATGGAATCTCTCTACTTGACCATTTGATGTACTGTGAAGTGGTGGACCGTTCACTATATTGATATTAAAATAATTAAAAAGCATAGATTTGATCGTATTTGAATTAAACGAGCGTTCGTTGTCACAGTAAATAGTTTTTGTTCCCGTGAAAAAATTTAAAACTTGTAGTAACTTTGGTTTAATATCTGTTATTGTCCGAGATTCAATCGGTTGTACGATAGCAAATTTGGAGAATTTATCAACGCATATTAAATAGTGTTTAGAGTCTGTAGAGTAGATATCGATATGTAGTATCTGACCTAATTGTGTAGGAATTGGAGTTTCTGAAATAGGAAGCTTTACTGAGTGCCTAATATATTTGGCCTTTGAACATGTTTTACAATTTAAAGCTACTCCTTTAGCTAATTTATTCATCTTTGGGAAAAAATAATCACTGAGTATCTGCTTAACATTTTCTTGCGCAGCTCTATGTGCCCTATTATGTTCCGTTACAATGATTTCTTTTTGTTCATTCGGATCGAGGACATCAACGACAAATTGTTTGGCATACAGAAATTTGGTTGTTGGAAAAGTCTCTATTAATTTGTGTTGTATGTGTGCAACGATTGGTAGTTCGCAATGTACTGCATTCACTACATCTATATTCACTGCATCACATAATTCTTCGAAAAGGTTATTTTTATCACGAAAGTAAATGGTATGTCTAGTTTTTTTCCTAAACAATATAGTGGTATGTTTTGAAGAGTATTCCGACTCCATAATTATTATTTGATTCCGATAGCAATTGACTGGCTTATCGGTGGTTTCCATGGTGTAGGTTAATGATTCTTCACTATGAATAGTTGCATCTTCTGACCTTGAGTTATTGTCCAGCGCATTGATATGTTGTCGTGACAAAGCCTCTGCCACGTTATTCTCTTTACCTGGTTTATAATGTAGCTTCGCATTATGTTCATCTATGAAAGCTTTCCATCGTTTGATTTTTGCATTTGTATTTCTATCAGAAACTGCGAAAGTTAGCGGCTGGTGGTCGGTAAATATATTCAAATTGCTAACACCATACAAGTAATTCCTTAAATTTTTTAGAGCCCATACAATGACTAATAATTCTTTTTCGTTAGCTGCAAAATGCAGTTCTCCACCTTTCAAAGTTCTTGAAATCATGGTTATAGGTTTGCCGTCTTGTGATAAGACCGCTCCTAAACCATAAGAAGAGGCATCTGTAGTTAAATCGAATGCTCTGTTAAAATCAGGATACCTAAGAATAACATCTTCCGAAATTAAAATCTCTATTAATTTAGAGAATGCTTGAACTTGTTGGGCGTTTAACTGTATTTGGATTTTTTTTGACAGACTTGCCTTAACCTTACCATTTTCACCTTTTAAAATATCTGTTAATGGCCTAGCTATATTTGCGAAATCTTTAATAAAACACCTGTAATAACTTGCTAACCCAAGGAATGATCTCATTGCATGTAGCGTGGTGGGCTGTTCGAAATTCTTAATTGCTTCTATTTTTTCTGGGCATGTTTTTATACCGCCTCTTGATACAATAAAACCCAAATATTCAACTTCTGTTTTGAAAAAGTTTGATTTCTCAATCGAAACCCTCATGTTTGCATCGAAAAGAGCTTTTAAAACCCATTGAATATCTTGAACATGTTGTTCTTCTGATTTTGAAAAAATAATGACATCATCTACATAAACATGGCAGATTTTACCAATTTTCTCTCTGAGAACATCATCGATGGCCCTCTGAAAAATGCTTGGCGCGTTTTTGAGCCCGAATGGTAATCGACAGAACTCATATTTACCATTATTTACGGCGAACGCCGTTTTTTCTCTGTCGCTTTCCTTCAGTTCTATTTGATGAAACCCTGATTTAAGATCAAGGGTAGTGAAATATCGAGCTTCACCCATATTTGACAATATTACCATAACGTTAGGAATGGGATACTTGTCGTCAATTGTTTTGGTATTAAGCTTTCGATAATCTATGACTAAACGTTTTTTCTTATTACCTTCATTGTCAGTACCTTTTTTATCCACGACCCATATGGGGTTATTACAAGGTGACTTAGATGGTCTAATTATGCCATCAGCCAGTAATTGCTTTATTTCCTCATTTACAAAGCTTGCTACACCCATTGGGTATTGATACAATTTTGAATAAACCGGGTCTTGGTCCATAGTTCTGATCGTAGCAACGATGTTTGTATTGAAAGGAAGCTTTTCCCTAGGGTCTGCGAATGCATTTCTAAACTTTTTGATCATTTTTAAGAATGATTCCCTCACTGCTGCAGGAATTTCTTCTTTTTGGATTTTAAGTAAATTAACATCTTCACAGTCTAAAAATAAAATTTTTTCAACACCGAAATCGTATTGAATTATTTGTTGACGTAGATCTATTCTTGCATTTACCTTTGTTAAAAGGTCAAGACCGATAATCCCGTCAAAATTTGCCAGGTGTGGCAAAATAAAAAAATCTGAATTAATTCCGAAAATATTTAAATTATACTTCTCTACGATTTGGCTAAAGCCGTGAATCGATTTTACTAAAAATGGGGAAGACACCGGTTTGATGTCTTTCAATTCTGGTAACATTTTTATATAATTTTTTGAGGCACCTGTATCTATTAAAAGTCTTACGCTTCTCCCTGTGTTGCCTATGATTTTACAAATCCAAGGAAGAGCTGACTTTTCCCTTAAAAAATTAATCTCATTAAATTCATCAATATCAGAGACTTGAATGTGGGCTGTGTCGTTATAAATTTCATGGTTAAGTTGAGTAAGGTGGTTTATTTTCTGGAATTTGGGTCCCGTATTTCTATCTGACATAGGTGGTCTTTTAAGTTCTCTTTTGTTTTCCCCGAAACCAGTTCTTAATTGTGAGTTATTTCTATTTACGTTATTTTGAATATTTGTTGGCCTACGAAAATATGATGTGGAAGGATCCACATCCATTGGTTTAGCCTCGTTTAGATTTTCAAAGGGGGCGTTGTTTTTAAAAGCCTCATTATTTTTTTTATGAAAATGTGGGTTTTTTTGTTGACTGTAAGAATTGGGCCTATTTCCAAAATTGGTTTTAGATTTTAAAACCTCTTCGTCCCTATTAGCGATACTTATCGCAAAGATATAACGTGCATGATTTGCTTCTACTTCCTGCGCCAATGCCAAAGCTGATGGAAGATCGGTTGGTCGGGAAGCGAACAGAATATCGCAAAGTGGTTTTCTCAAACCAGAAATAAATACTCGAAGAGCATCTGCTCTATATTTTTCATTAATTATTTTTGCTACTTCGCCCTCATATGTTATTACAGCTTTATTCATTAAAAGTGTTAACTTTTTCTCCACCTCGTCGAAAAATTTTAAAACAGATAAATTTCCCTGCCTTAATGTCGACATTTCCTGCTCAATAAGATAAGCGACATTTCCTGCTTATCTGAGTAGGTGAAATCTAAACGCGCAATAATGGCTTTAAAATTTAACACTGTATTGAAGGATGCTAATACTGCGTCTGCGGAACCTCTAATTTTATTTCTTATGATAACTAAGGCTTGATAATGCCTTGAGCTACCCTCAAAGTTTTGAAACAACCTATATGCAGTATGCGCAGCTTGACGCCACGAAACATAATTACACTGTTGCCCATCAAATTCGGGCAAAGACTTCACCACATCGAGAGATTCCTCGCACTTTACGTTCGGATGTATCTCCGCTTCGCTAAAAACTTCTATAGGACACTCCGTCTTACATTCCACTAACTGCTTAGTAAGATCATTTATTTTTAAATCAAAATCCCGTTTTTGTGATACTAGTGCAGCTTCAATTGCAGCTTGAATTACTTTACCTAGCTGTTCAGCGTCCATTTTTAATTTAAAATTCAAAAATCTTTAGTTGTAATATATAATTGTTCAAATGACCAAAATCTAAAAAAAAGTTAACTGCAACAGAACCGTGTCACATATAATTAACTATATTGGTCCCTCCAGTTATAACACTGATCCAATTTAAGCTTATAAGTGGTTGTCTAATCCTCGTCGACAGT